ACCTCAGTGAAAGAAGATGGAGACGATCATCCTAGTACAGCCAGAAAAGCCCTCTTATCCTTCAGGACGGACGCCGCCTCCTGCGGGGATTCCCGCCGGAATTCGCCCTCAACCACCGCTATTTTCATATCCCTCGTCATCTCCACCTGTATTGGCCTATCCGCCGCCGTAGCCTTCGGTTTCCTGTTCTTCCACGCGTCCTCACCCGACCCGAACACCGTCGACGAGACCTCCCGCTCTCTTACGAGGCTGAAGCATCCCGTTGTTTTGCTTATCTCGTCAGACGGGTTTCGTTTTGGGTACCAATTCAAGACGGATACGCCCAACATCCACCGGCTGATCCAGAACGGGACGGAAGCCCGATTGGGCCTGATCCCGGTCTTCCCGACGCTGACTTTCCCAAACCATTACTCGATCGTCACCGGTTTATACCCCGCTTACCACGGAATCGTGAATAATTTCTTTATTGATCCAAAAACGGGCGATTTTTTCAGTATGTCGAGCCACGAGCCCAAGTGGTGGCTGGGCGAGCCCATCTGGGAGACCGTGGCCCGCCAGGGCTTGAAGGCCTCGACTTATTTCTGGCCCGGGGCGGAGGTTAAACGGGCCTCCTGGGACTGCCCTGAAGAGTACTGCATGTTTTACAACAGCTCGGTGCCTTTCGAGACCCGAGTCGACTCAGTCCTGAGCTACTTCGACCTGCCAGACGATGAAATCCCATCGTTCATGACACTGTACTTTGAGGACCCGGACCGCCAGGGACACCACGTGGGGCCCGATGACCCGCGTATCACGGAGGCTGTTGCCCGGGTAGATGCAATGCTTGGGAGGTTAATAACCGGTTTGGAAGACAAGGGTGTTTTTGAGGATGTGAATGTGATTTTAGTTGGGGACCACGGGATGGTGGGTACGTGCGACCAGAAGTTGGTGTTCTTGGATGACCTGGCAGATTGGATCAAGATACCGAAAGAATGGGTCTATTCATACAGCCCATTGCTTGCCATTCGGCCTCCGGCCGGATTCTCGCCGGAGGAGGTAGTGAAGAAGATGAACGAGGGGTTGAGTTCGGGGAAAGTTGAAAATGGCGAGTATTTGAGGGTTTATCTCAAGGAAGAGCTTCCGAGACGGCTTCACTATTGGGAGAGTGATCGGATTCCGCCTATTATAGGGTTGGTTGAGGAGGGTTTCAAGGTGGAGCAGACGAGTTCGGGAAGGAAGGAGTGTGGGGGTTCGCACGGGTATGACAATGCGTTTTTTTCCATGAGGACGGTTTTTGTGGGTCACGGCCCGCGGTTCGGGAGGGGTAAGAAGGTGCCGTCCTTTGAGAATGTTGAGATTTATAATTTGGTGACGGATATATTAAACATTAGTGGGGCTCCAAACAATGGGTCTGTTTCATTTCCAAAGAGCGTTCTATTACCTAGGAATTGAAGGTTTTTTTTTAGTTGGATACAGATGAATATGGGTTTTTAAGGAGATGAAAATAGGGTTTGATGGTAAGATTGCACATGGCTAACTGGTTGAGGTCATTATGGGCCACATGGATATAGTTGATACATGTAGATATTTTTTCTTACTTCAAGATTTGTTTGCGAACAGTATGTGTTGCCTATAAAAGGCAAACCACTGCCATTTATACAAATTTTATGGTTCTTACCTGAAGAGCCAGTTGTGGTTCCTTGTAGTAGCATCATCCCATTATTTGTTCTTATTGCTAAACTTATTGTTCCATCTACTCGAACATTAAAGATGCTTATGCGGGTTGATCAGATGGGTTTCATTTTGTAAAGTCGGCATCTCATGAAGTTCTGAACTGTTCCCAAGTTTGGTGTTGCCCTGCACTGTTGATTTGTGAGACACGGTGGATCATTCGTGAGAATGTGTAGTAATATTACAGACATCATTTCCATGAATGTCAAACGGATCGTACTTCTGGTTCTTTGACTCCATATGTTTTCATCGTTATTCCAAAAATAGGGGAAGGTTTGTTGTCATCTCTAAGTGAATGCTGATTCTCATTCTTGTGCATGTGGTTCAAATTTGTTGAAAGATTGAAGATGTATGAACATATCCTTTGCTTGTAATGAGTACGATGTACTGAGTTCTAGCATTTATGTTCCTTACATATTTGTTAAAACCTTACTATAACTATGATTTGGAAGTGATGTGAAATTATAGAGCCGCGAATAAGGTCTGACAAAAAGCAATGGATAGGTCTGTGAAGTGTATAATTCTGCATATTCACTGGCCAATTCCTCAAAATTGGCACAATGCATGTTGCAAAATAATTAATTCCCCAACAACAGTATTGTTTCAGAACATAACAAATTAGTTTTGTGAATATAAAAGTAAATAATCTTCAAGGATAGACAATTAAAGTTGTTAAGCGAAAAAAGTCGTTCACCCCCGGCTCGGCTCGTTAAGCTTTCAAGAACATGGATTTTTATGTAGTTTTCTAAAAATTTTACCTTAGCTCGGCTCGTTTAAGCTCGAGTTTAGCTCATTAAGGGTAGGATATGGCTTCTCCAGGTTTCGGAGCAGGCCTACTTTGCACGAATCACAGCTGTAGCACAGCTGGCTGGGGTCATTGTTCCAGATGGCACAGTCGGGATTGACTGCTACGCTTGGCGTCCCCACCCAAGTTGTTGGGGTAGAGTACGTGAGCCCACACATCATTGGAGGCTTGCAGCATTCCCGACTGTAAACCGAAAAAAATAACGTGCATTGTGTGAGGGGCCAAGAAAAATCTTTCACACTTTTTTTTTCCATTGTTTACCAAGAATCCAAGCCTTCTATGTCTGTATACATTGACACCCACATTTATGTATGCATATATATTGGAACTGTGTAGCATATAGGAAAAGATCTTCTCTTGGAGAAACCCAAATCGTGAAACATACACACGCACAAGGGTTTTTCGAATGAGAAAAGAAAAAAGTGTTCTTTGCAAAGATTGTATGCGGACGCGTATAGAATGGCTGATGTGATCAGATTATGCTGCAATTCTCAAAAGTTCTCAAAAGTTCTCATCTTCCTTGGTTTCCCTCTCCTTGTCTCTGAGTTCTTGTCAGCGGGCCCCACCTCTGAATCAACGAGGGCCAATTTTCCTCTCGGAAGTTTTTTCTCTTGGTTGTGGTTTGGTCTCGCGTTGGGGTCTTTCAAGGTAAAACTAGAGCTTCTGCAATTCAATTGATTTGGTAGCTAGTATTTTTACTTGCTTAGAGTTGGTAAGAACATAGTTAAGTCTTGTATCTCGTTCGAGCTTTTTACGTTTTGTGCGGCTTTCTGCTGTGTAGTTTGTAATATACTTTTGAGTTGGAATGAGAAAGATGGGTTACTGGTCAGTGTCATACATTGTATAGGCTTCATATCTTTCGACATATGTAGAGGTTTTTGTGAACTTTATGGATTAGTTTTCAGGAGCTGTACTATAATTGCTTGATCATGGGGTTTTCCAGTCAAATAATATGACAACTTTGCAATGTATCTAGTCTAGCTTCCAAATGCTAACCTGTTATGCTAATGTAATTAGATTCCAACCATTTTTTCTCTTTTGTCTGTGATCTTTGATTTCTTTAAGTCAAGGACACCGCAATTATACCCTCAATTGTAGCAAAAAAAATGTTTTTCTGCTAGCTATTTGACGTTTGCAAATTACCTGGTGGGTCGTCTTGTGATTTTATGCATCTTGTGTGCTCCTAAGGAGTTTGCGTAATTACCAAACAAATGAAATCTTCTATTAATGTAATCGATAGTTTTTATTATTTTTTAATATCTATACATTGGGTTGATTACAGGCCGAAGATGGTAAGTATTGGATATCTCTAAATATATGCTATAGGCTCGTGTGAATTTTTTCATGTGTAAGACCTTTTCCTGCTCCATATGGATGCGAAGCTTAAAGTCGAAGGTCATATACGGCCTAGATGGCTCAATCGTGTCTGTACATGATTTATTGTTTGCAGATGCTGAATCATGAAATCCGCCTTTAACACATAAGTAATCAAGCTTGTTTTTTCATGTGTTTTGGAGTTCTTAGGTCATTTATCCTGCCCGTTTGTCATTGATTATATCATGGTTTGTCCCCATCTGACTGATGTTGGCAGCTTTTCTTTTTCTTTAATTAGTGTTAACCTAATTTTTCATAGAAATTATAGTCTTTCTATATAGATGATAAGATTCCCCTGCAAACGCACCTCAAGTTTGCCTATGCATGTTCTAAGAATGGGAGTTCGTTAACTATAGCTTCTAGAGTTTCTCATGACGTATAAAGGATTCAACTCTTTTACTTTTCTTCATTTTGTTTCATCATTCTGTTGGCAACTCGGTCATACCTTTTTGGTCGCTTTCGCTTCTTTTGTATTTCATTGTTGTTCTCCTTTCGATTTGCTTTCATGTAATTGCATTAATATGAAATGCATGAAAAGCTAGAAGATTTTAAGGAGCATTCCCATTGAGGAGATCTGGACATCACCAACTCAAGATTAAGGAGAACGCTATTTCCGAAGATGGCTTTTAGGACGAGGTATGGACAACACGAGTTTGTAGTAATGCCTTTTGGTTTGAGTAATGCCGCCTGCCGTGTTTATATGGGTATGGTGATCTGAGTGTTTCGCCCTTATTTAGATTAATGTCATTGTTTCATATATGACATTCTGGGAATCTAGTGACTGTTGGGAACTTCTCCATGACTTTTGATAATGTGCCTTAGTTCATGACGTACATCTGCAAACTTTTGTTTGGTTTTTCTCCCATTTGTGGGAATGTTTTCAATGGCTCAAGTCCGTGAACTTATTTTCATACTCAGAAATGGTCATTCTTCTTACTCCAAATCCTATAATTCGTTTCTTCTGCCTGATAGTACTTTGGTTAATATTGATTTCGTTGAAATTTCTTGAATTCCCACCAAGTCAGACTATCATGTTCTTTTTCTTGCTAGGGACCAAAGAGTTGTCTGCTTTAGATGTGCTGATTGTGAAGTTGCTTTTAAATGTCTTTTCTGAGGACTTGTCGGTTAAAAGTTCCCTTAACGTCTTTTCTGCCGATTGTGAGTTAAACGTTACCTTGCAAAAATTAGTAGATTTGAAGTTTATTCGACCAAGTATATCACCATGAGGAGCACCGATTCTGTTCGTGAAAAAGAAAGACAAAACTTTGAGGATGTGTATTGATTATGTAGATTTAAATCCATTCACAGTGGAGGACAAGTATCCCTTATCAAGAAATTGAGGATTCATTTGATCAATTATGAGGAGTGGAAATTTTCTAGTTCAAGAGTGTAGGCTTCAATTTCAAGAGATTGGGCAGGTTATTATTCTTCATGCTTGACAAATTAGTAATCTCAGTCTGTTATCAGCTTTGCAGAACAGCAAAAGAACATCCTGATATCATCATGTTCTTGAAAGTCAAATTTGACGAGAACAAGTCCATGTGCAAGAGCTTGAACGTGAAGGTTCTTCCATATTTCCACTTTTACCGTGGGGCAGATGGGCATCTCGAGGCCTTCTCGTGTTCACTTGCCAAAGTACGTAAATCCGTTTTCTCTACTATTCATAAGAAAATGGTGAGGGCACTTGTTATTTTCGCATGATAATATCCTATGCATGTAAATCTTCGAATGGTAGCCTATTCAGATAACTTCTTGCAGTTCCAGAAAATTAAGGATGCAATCGAAGTACATAACACGGCACGTTCCAGCATTGGACCCCCGAAAGGAATTGAGATAACACGGCACGTTCCGGCATTGGTCCCCCCGAAAGGAATTGAGGATCTAAATCTGCAAGGAGCTTCTTCACCTCCAGAAAATAGTCCTTTGCCATAAACTCAGTCGTGTTTGGACTAGTTTATGCACGGTCTTATATGTGAGTAGTTTATGTATGATAGCCATATTCTTCTTTGTATAGGCCTGTGGTCGTTTTTTAGGCAAGTATTTTCTTTTAATGTACGCTAAATGATTCATGGTTTTCAATCAGCTAATGCGATTCATTCACAAATATTCTACTTTACATGAAATATATTGGCACAAAATAAAAGTTCATTTTACACAATATAATTTACTTGAAAAATGAGAAAAAATAAAATAAAATAAAATGAAGGGTAAAAGGTTTGAATTGATTCTTATGTGAAACAAAAAAGAAAAAAGCCTTTATTAAAACTGTTTGCAATAATTTGCCTTTTGACTCTAGATGGTTTTGTGTTGACCCAGTGGGGTCTAAGGGTGGTCTACTTTTGTGTTGGTCTTCTAAAGTGTCAGTTTTAGAAATTGTTAATAATATGTTTATGTTTAGAGGTTAAGTTTTCTTTGTATATGCTAGTGTTAATCCTGTGGAGAGGCAATATCAATGGGAGATGCTTAATA